AGCAGCAGGTCTGAAGACTGGGAGCTGTTCAGATTTCAGCACAGGAGGTCTAAGGGATTGATTAAGAGGGGAAAAGTAAAGTGTAAGAATAAGCTTGCAGGGTACATACAAACTAATTGTAAAAACTCCTAAAAGTATATGACGAGAAGAACAGACTAACGAAAACAAATCCCTTATAATCAGAAACAGGGGAAGTTAATACGTGGAATAAAGAGATGGCAAACTGATTAACTACATATTTTGGTTTTGTTATGACAAAGGATGACACAAATAATATCCCTAAAATCCTGGGAACACATCAGAGGCAGGAACTGAAGGGTATCGGCATTAGTAGGGAAATGGTATTGGAGAAATCCATGAGATTAAAAGCCAACAAATCCCAGCACCTGGTAATCTACAGCCCAGAGTACTTAAAGTGGCCTGAGATACAATGGATACATTCTGAAACTAGGGGCCTGAATCTAAATAGAGGATATTGATGATCATCTTTCAAGATTTTCTCGACTCTGGAACAATTACGATGGATTGGAGGGTAACGAAGATAACCCCACTATTTAAAAGAAAGGTGGAGAGAAAATGTGGAATGACAGACCAGTTCGCCTAACACCGGAAAACAGCTACAGGATTGGACAGAGTCAGTCAGCATGAATTTACCAAAGGGAAATCATGCTGGACAAATCTGCTGGAATGTTTCAAGATTGAAGCATTTAGAGTTGATAAGGAGGCAGTTGACGTGGTTCACTTGGAATTTGAGAAGGCGTTTGAGAGGTCCCACAGAAGAGATTAGCATGTAAAGTTAAAGCACATGGGATTGGGTATTCACGGGGACACAGAACTGGCTGGTAGACAGAAACAGTGTCAAATAAACAGTCATTTCTTGTGCGCCAGCCAGTGACCAGTGTGGTACCTCAGGGGTCAGTGCCAAACCCCAGATATTCACACTATCCATTAGTGATTTAGACGAGGAAACTCGAATGGCATATCTGCAAGCTTGTAGGTGACATGAAGCTGGTTGGGACAGTGAACTTTGAACAACATGCGAATATGCTTCAGTGTGATTTGGAGTTGAGTGAGTGGGCAAAAATTCAAGGCAGATGAAGTATAATGTGTATAAGTTTGAGGTTATCCAGTTGGATTACAAAACTAGGAAATCACAAGTCACTGACAGTAAGCATGCAGGTGCTGTAGGAGGTGAAGAAAGCAAATGGTATTTTGAACTTCATAACGACAGGATTTGAGTGCAGGAGCAGGGATGTCTTGCTGAAATTGTACAGGATCTTAGTGAGACCACACCTGGGGTACTGTGTGCAGATTTGGAATCCTTATCTGAGGGAGGACGTTCTGACTATGGAGGCTATTCACAACAGTTCACCAGACTTATTCCGGGGATGGTAGGACTGACGTATGAGGACAGAATGGATTGGGTAGGATGAAATTCACTGGTGTTTAGAAGAATGAGGGAAGATCCCACGGAGACCAATAAAATTCTAACAGGACTAACATGGTAAATGCAGGAAGGATGATATCTATGGCCAGGGAGTCCAGAAACAGAGAGTCACAGTTTAAGGAAAAAGGACCGTTTAGGACTGAGACGAGGAAACATTTCTTTACACAGAGAGTGGTGACCCTGTGAAATTTGCTGTCACAGAAAGCAGTTAAGGTCAAAATATTGAATGTTTCCAAGAAGAAGAATATGTATAGTTGTGAGGGCTTAAAGGATCAAAGGGTATGGATCTGAAGTGGGAACAGGCTACTGAATTGAATGATCAGCCATAATCAAACTGATTAGCAGATCAGGATCAGAAGCTACAATGAACTACACATGTTCCTATTTTCTAAGTTTCTATTCTGATGAAGGTGGGATATAAGAACAAAATGATTATGACTGACACAGATATCAGCACAACCTTATCACTACTGGGTGAAAATCCTGTAACTCCTTACCAAACAGCAATTTGGGAGCATCTTCACCACGCGGACTGCAGCAGTTCAAGAAGATGCAGAGTGATTTTGGAAGCTTCTGGAGTGGCTGCTGTGTCTCTCGTTTTCTATCCAGTTGTCAAGTTGTTGAATGTTCTGAGAAAAACAACATAGTATGTAGGAAATGTCTTTGGAAGTTTGCTGATACTGGGGGAAGCGAGGGGTGGGATGGATGGGGAAGGGGAGCAATGAGAGAAATAATGGGCTGGGATTTGTGGTGGGGTGATGGGAGAAGAATAACCCCAATATCCAAACCACACGCCCCCACCCTGCTCGGTTCTCTCCCTCCACTCTGTGGTTTTTCTCCTCGCCTCTTTCACACTGGCAGCCAGCTCAGCGTCAAAGACGCGTGTGTGGACATTTTTCCATCAGTCTCGGTCACTTGCACATGCACAAGCATCTCCCAACAGCATACTGCACATACTCCTCAGTGAATGCAGCAATGATTAAAACCAATAACCTTTGTTTCCAGCCCCATTCGCACCAAAGACAGACATACAGAGAGTCACGGTATAAATTTTCAAAAATCAAAACAAAATTGACCAGATTACTTGAGCAGTTTCCATGATGCATTGCTTCACAGGTACACAGGATTGTCAAACCTTTATGCTGTCACATCAACAGCCAAACACCTTTTCTCAGAAAGCCCCAGTTCTAAAGAACTCTGGCACTTACTTCTATTTGACCATGTTCTCTCCCAGACTTGCTGGTACCAGTTCCCAGATACTGACTTCATTAATGACCAAAATAGTCTACAGAGTTTTGATCAAGAAACAACCTGCAATTAACTTCCAGGCCTGGCCTCAGAAACAAACTATAGCTTTTATATTCTTTTTTAACACAACTGCTGCTCACAGTCCAGAGGTTACTGTTCAGCTCTCAGATTCAAACCAAGAATGATTTTTAAAATCTCAGCAAAGGTTCTAATACAGTACACAGCAGAAAGACCTTTAACCAGTGACACAGACTGAGTGAGTGGGACACTACACATTGGAATTTTGCTTGAATGAGATCACTTACCATTGCTGCAATCAGATTCTGAAGTGGCTTGACAGGGTAAATGCTGACAGGATTTGCCCTCTCATTGGCTAGTCTCGGCTAGAAAGCATAGTCTCAGAATAATTTAAAGTTGAATTGCAGAGAGTTTTCATCTCAGAGGGCTGAGTGTCTTTGGAACTTCTTGCTACAGAGAGCTGACAGGGTAGAGTCTTTGTGTATTTTTAAGGCAGAGATAGGTAGATTCTTGATCAGTAGGGGAATTAAAGGTTACATGAAAAATGCTGGAAAAGTGGCCATCAGGAATGTCAGATCAGCCGCAATCCTATTTAATGGCAGAACAGGCACAAGGGACTAAATGGCCTACTCCTGTTCCTATTACATATGGTCTTCCAGTAGACTGTCGAAAGAGTCGTAACCAATTACACAGACTGAGTGAGTGTTCCAGTGAATTGACAGCGGAAAGAGCTTTAACATAGACTGAAATAAAAATCTCACCACAGACAGTTAACAGGAACTATATGGATGTTCTGTCCACTGAATTAGAATTTACCTGATCACCCAGCCAGGAGAGACTACAGATACCCACCCTATGGAGATACTGTGGAAATATCAGGACAATGACAGTGATACAGTTCCCCACCTGAGCTGGCCACCCAGTGGTGCAGTTACACCGGGGTCAGACCATTCCCGTGCTCCATGTGCAGGAAAGATTAAGACACCCAGCTGCTGAGACACCTGTAAACTTGTACGGGGTTACAGAGTTGGATTCTGGTGGGATTACTGCTTTTTATCACATCCAGCTTCATCTGACCTTCATATTGCACTTCTACCGCAGTAAACCCTCCCATCGGGACTAATAAAACAAAACTGCAAGGCCCCAGACGGAGACACTAGGACAGACTGGGGACGAAAGGAATAAGAGTGGCGGGGGGTGGGAGATGGAGCCGGGGGTGGGGCAACACAGGACCCCGCCGTCACTGCTACGTCACCACGCTAACCACGCCTGCGCACTTCCCACTAAACCAAGATGCGGAGGCGTCGGCGTTGGCCTGCGGCCTGTTTCAGGGAAGAAGTCTTAGGGTCTCAACAGCGAAACCGAAAAAGCGCTGTTTGGGACTTGAGACCTAAACTGGGCAATCATGCAACCCTCTTGCTGGCGTATAGCACCAACACTGCCCTCCTCTCTAACGTTTACTCACTGTTTGTGGATGTTATGGAGGAACATTTCATTCCTTCCATTGCTCCAGGCACGCACGCTCACAATCACAATTAGCTGTGCGCATGCTCCAGTAGCTTGCACGCCGGTTTGATGTCGTCTAACAACCAATAGCAACAAGCAAGGGACGGGACTGGAACACGGCACCGGAACTGCTTGTCCACTCAGAGGACAAAGGGCAGGGCAAGCCCCAGAAACACACATCGAGCGGATGGAAGGGGCGGGATAATCTTCCAACCAATCAGGGAGATACAGGGGCGGGACTGGAATTCGGGCGTCGATCGGCGAGGGAGGGGGGCGGGGTTAGTGCTCCAACCAATCAATGAACCAGAGGGCGGGTCTGACAAGTTGAACAGAGCATGGGCCGTAGGCGTGCTGCAGGCCAGTGGGAGAATGATTTCTTTCCATTCTTTTTACAGCGCATTCAATGGGAAGGATTTCCAGATCTTCAGTTCCAACCCGATATCACAGCAAGGTCTAACAGAGTCACCCTTTTTAGCAGCGTCGCAGTGTCATCGGTCTTTCGCCGTGCATGCAAGGTAAAATGTTTGTCTGCAGTGTCTGTGGGAAAAGATTTCTGCGATCGGTGTCACCGGAAAGGTTCGAAGAAATTCGAAACCGTGTGCAGAGCAGCCCCGGAGGATGTGCCTGGGTATCACAATTTAGGAAGGAGAGCCTGGACCTTCCTCGGGGTCAGCGCGGGTTTACTCCAATGATTCCTGGTTTTTATTATGAGCAACGGTTGCAGGAATCAGTCTTAGATTCATTATGACACAGAACGGAATAATTTAGCTCATTTCTTCAATACCAACTTTCTGTACAGAAATGCAATCTCTCAAATTTGCCTGCTCCCTGCCCAAAGTTTATTTCACTTAAATGCAGATCTAATTTTCTTTATGATGCCATTGATTCTCTTTGTTTCCACCCGTAAGGAGAGAGGACTGTATAGTTCCATTCATTCTGGGGGGCGGGAGGTGGGGGGATTATTCCCCTTGTATCTATTGCTGAATGGCTCAGTTTGGGAATGTATTAGCCGGAGATAAAAACTCCATCTGCCGGTCCTCAGCCCATTGACCCATTTGATCAAAATCTCTTTGTCATCAAGAAAGCGAATCAGCTGTATCCTTTATTATTACAAGAATTGAATGTAAATGTAAAGATATCGGCTTCATTTGTAAAGAGATTTGGTGAGATACGGGCGTAAATATGGGTGACTTTAATCTGCACATAAATTGAACAAATCAAATTAGTAGCAATATGACAGAGGAGGCATTCTTAGCATGTATATGGAACAGTTTTAAGAATCAACATAGTGAGGAAGCAACTAGGTATTGGGTAATGAGAAAGGAATTCTCATTAGGGTGGCATTGTGGCTCAGTGGTTAGCACTGTTGCCTCACAGCGCCAGGAACCTGGTTTCAATTCCAGCCTTGGGCGACTGTCTGTGTGGAGTTTGCACTTCTCCCCATGTCTGCGTGGGTGTCCTCTGGGCACTCTGGTTTCCTCCCACAGTCCAAAGATGTGCAGACTAACTGGATTATCCATGCTAAATTGCCAATAGTGTTCAGGGAGGTGTAGATTAGGGGATGGGTCTGGGTGGGAACTTCTGAGAGTCGGTGTAGACATGTTGGATCAAAGGGCCTGTTTCCACACTGTAGGGATTCTATGATCTATGAATAATTGATAATAATGTTGAGCATGG